ATCTTAAAATATTATTCTGAATATTTTTCAGAATAAATAAATACCTAAATATTGAAACTTAATAACGTACTGAAACATACAGCGCCATAATATCTCGACCTCCGCCCGTTATGCTCGTAACAGGTTAAAGAGGTATCTAAAACAACTGATGCGTTATTCTCCAACCTGTTTCGAACTTCCATCGACAATCGACCGATGCAACAGCGTTCCTTTACCACTCCGATTATCTCGACCGCCACCCTGTTATGCTCGTAACAGGTTGAAAAACAACGTATCTAAAATGACTGCTTCTCCAACCCGTTGCTAGCCTCCATCGACAATCGACCGATGCAGCAGCCTTCCTTTCCCACTCCTGTTATCTCGACCGCCAGGCGTTATGCCCGCAACTGTTTCAAAAAACCTGCTTCTTTTATATCCTATTATTTTTAAGCTGTTGTAAGCCCAATACGACCGTCGACGGGATCGACCGAAGCAGCTACGTTCGCTGTAGCGCATTCCCCACTCCGTTGTCCGTTGTCTCGCCGCCTGTATCGATGGTTGACGAAATAACATGTTTTCCATCCATACTAGAGATGAGCGATATCGTGATTTTTTAATCACACTGATATTTGTTACTGTGATTTTTTAATATCAGTGATTTTTAAACGTGATGTGATTACAGTTTCAATAAAAATAACAAGTGCTGTCGCTCCGTCCCCGTTGCCCCGTTCCCAGTTAAGGCGTAATACTCACGTGTTTATTTATACTTTTTTTAGATTTGCGATAAAAAGTTTGGGTTTGATTCATTTATCCAGTATTATTCAGTCAAGTTGCATTTATTATCGGCTACATGCCGGGTTACAAGGTTGCGGTTTGTTTTGTTTATTTAAGAATAAGTGTTTTTCTAACCTCAAAAAATAAATAATTTTATTGCAGTGATATCAAATCTCAAAGATTTAGCCGAGTATTCGTACGATCCGTACTTAAAACGTTAAAACATTAATTGAAGAATATATTAATATCAAATTTACATCAATAACTTCAAGATTGACGACGTACCTAAAATGTACCATCACCGTTTATAGTTTAAAAAAAAAACGATAATAAACGAAAGCGAGGCGGCCGGCACACAGTGGGGTATTTGACACAGATAGTTGATCGAATTTTTTTTTATGTAGACTTTATATAAATTATTGCTATTTTCATTTAAAGAGGAAATAATATGAAAAAAATAAAGGATAATTCGTCGATTCTAAAAAAAAGAAAGAAAAATCACTGTTCCAGTGTTTCCACGGTCAATGCCACTAATGCCAGTAGTAATATCGCAACTAATACTACTAATGCTATGATTGATCCGCGAGCAATGCCCATACCACTAAAGTCGTTACTAATACCAAATTGTGCTATACTGCTAATGGCACTAATGCGATCGCTTTGTACACAACAATGCCATCGCGGTTTACACCTCGCATTAGTATATCACTGATTGGTAAATTAGAGGAAACCAAGAATGTTTTTCTCATTTTATCAGCAAAGTCGCAAAAAGTCGCAGTATTTTATTTTACTGTATGAAAGCCCAATGTTTACTAAGTAAAAGGTATATAGACAATATGCTGAATTCTTCGAAATGAGCAACTAAATCTCTAAGTATAATAAAAATGTCACAAATTTAATCAAATTTTCTGAACGCCTAACTTTTAGTTGCAAAAAAAATCGTTAGTATAGAGAATATGAAAATAAATAATACGTTTTTGTAGAATACATACCTGCAGCTTGCTCAGCCATTTTCAATCAAAACAATAATATAAACGTAAAAAGAGCACAAGAACAACAACAATTTATAATTTTAAACATAAAATTTAGCCATTTACCTCTTATCTGTAAGAAGTAACAACTTTGACAATTCGGTGAAACAAATGAATGCAACTAAACACACCCATAGCAACGCCATTCATGGCAGACATTATTTAACTTATCATTTATCTTTTTTTGGGAAATCTTAAACACATTTGCTTTTTCGAATTTCGATCACCTTTTTCATGCTAATACCCCACCGTGCGGCAATGGTAATCGGTATCGGTATTTCCATTTGGTTTATCTAATACTAAATACTTAACGGATACACAAGTCTGTCGACTTTTTGCTAGTTTGCGTAGTGTGAAAATCACATATCAATTCACGCTTTCTTCTCAAAAAAAGTAACGATAGTGATATGTGATTTTTAAATATCAGTGAAAAAATCACAGTTCGTGAAATATCGCTCATCTCTAATCCATACTAGTTGTTTTTTGGAATTGCTTCGAGCAGCATAGAATTTCAGGGCGCCGACTTCGTTTTTCGTTTCACGAGCGGCCGATCTCTACGTGTCGTTATTTTATATCTGTTATTTTTTAGAAGTAGTAACGGTTGCGTTATGTTATTTCTAAATAATTGTTATAAAATAACAGATAGTTAAATAACAACCCATCACTAGTACAAATGACTAATCCTCTAAAACAGTTTACACACTATTTCAATGATTGTGGATCTCTCCATATTTTTCATTGTCAATCTCTCCATATTTGTAACATCATGATTATTGCTTGTTCCCAGTAATTGTATGTAGAAAAAAGTCGTGGGTGTTTGAGAAGGCTCAAAAGGAAACAATTATGTTTCTTGCGATGTTTCGAGACTTTATTGTCGCTTCTTCTGGCACTCAAACATTTAGTATTTCAAATGCCTACAAATTGATTCGTGGCGATACCAACTAGTCACACCATAAGAAAAATACGCGGAACGAACAGAAACTTGGGGTATTTTTTACACGATGCAAACCGTTCTCAGTTTGATGAGGTACTCAGTATCTTTTCTACATATTATTAAATTTCGGCGCTACTGGCTTCTTAACTTAGCGCATGTATAACGTTTTTGGCTGCCTTTATTGCACATAATTCAATAATGTATAGATGTAGAACATTATACAAAGAAGATATCAATGATACAAATGTTTTATGAACAAGCGGTCTCTTAGACAAGGGAAGAGAGGGGACAGGTAACACGACAGCTGAAAGTGAGGCAAGTTGTCACCACGCGAAATTCTCCAATGGCGTAGCATCAGAAATTAGCTTGTACCTAGACGGTACAAAATATTTATTAAAACGTAAACTAATATATCGTTCATTTTTGAGTAATGCATATACAGTTTTGTATTTTATAGTCTCACCTTTATAATGAATATCTAAGTCGATAATGCAAAATTTATTTAACAGTCACAGTGGACTGATTATCAAGACAGTTATTTATTTATTAACGAGTGTATAATGTATAATTAAATAAAAAAAATAATATAATAACATCTATTTTAAACGTGTATATACATATATACTGTATGATCGAAAAAAAACGGCGTCTTGTTTGTTTCGAAATGACAATTTCACAAATAAATATTAAAAATTACATTATTCATTGAATCCGTAAGCAAGTGTGAAGGGAATTGGCTAGTTTCATTATTATACAGTTTAATCGAAAAAAAAACGACGTCCAGCTGGCTTGTAAATTACGATCGATGACATTCCCCATATAATTCTACATATAAAATGACATAAAAACTATACAAAACGACATCGAAAAAAGACGGCGTCAGCGATGGCTATGAAATGAAGATCGCTGTCATTTTATATGTAAAATTATATGGGGAATGTCGTCGATCGTTATTTACAAGCCAACTGGACGTCGTTTTTTTCGACCATACGGTATAATAATGAATCTAGCCATTACCCTTTTCACACTTGCGTACGGTCGTGCGGATTCAATGAATAATGTCATTTTTAATATTTGTTACCTTCAATCATAAGAATATCCTATTTTTAAGAATATCTGAATTTATCCACAAAAAAATAAAACAATTCTAGAAGCTTTGTGTTATTTTATTTATTTTTAATTTTTTATTAATTACTCACTGAAACTATTATTATACACTTAAATTAGCAATTTTTTTAAAAGAATATATAAAAAATATATGTATGTAGTAACAAGTAGCCCACCACAAGTTTGTCCACACCCAACAAATCTTGGCAGGTAAATTTAAGTTTTATATAACAACTATACATATAGATTTTTTATCACTAGAATTTTTTATTTTTTTATAGTTTACAATTATTTTACATATTTGATAACAATACTTCATACATTTTTTTACATGTAAAATATATAAAAAAATGTTTATTGCGGAAGCGGAAATTGTATTTCTCTGATTATAATTCCCTACGCCACTGGTGAAATACGGTCTGAGTAGCAATATTTATAGTTTCAAACATTAATTATAATACAGGATATTGAAAATACTACTTGGAATTATTAAAAATAGTTTGGTTTGGATGTGGTACAAGACATATTAAAAGCATTTTACATATGTTTACTGCTATAATGAAAAAAATGTACATTTTATGACCACATAACAAAAGTTGTGTATCGGTTTTTACCTGTGAAATGTAATTCCAGCCACTTTTTTCTCGCTTCGGCCTTTGCAGCCAGACGCTGAACATCTCACCATACTAAACAACACAGTTTATAAATTTAAAACAAAACAGTTGTGACAAAAAAACATTAAAATTCGCTCGGTGTCACCTCGAAATCTTGTCACCAAAGTATGGCCGCCGATCGAATTTTGGCCTCACTAACCGATAACGGGAGAATATGCGTGTTACCCGTCCCCTCTCTTTCCTTGTCTAAGAGCGGTCTTTTACTTTAGTAATATTATTTAATAATTACTTTAGTAATTTTATTAATAATAATTTCCCATAAGAAATGTTTGTTAGACATACAAAGTTTACGTGATAATACAACGATTCAAAGTGCATTTAAAAGTTAACATACATTTTAGTAATACAATAGGTAAATGATATGTCGGCTATTCTTTTTTCTTAATGTATTGGTGCTGTACCACTTCCAAATCACAATATAGTTCTAGGAGCGACATGCTGCATACGAATTGAAATTAACTTAAAAAAAAATCTTATGTTATATCTATTTCTGTTTACTAATAAGATTTTTTTTTATTCAGGAACCCTGGCTGCAGTATCTGATGGCATGACATACGGATGGACATCCCCCATGATTCCCTACTTTACCGAGGGCGAGGGTCACATCCAAATGACCCAGCAAGAAGCCCAATTTATGGAGACGATCAACTTGCTAGGAAGCGCCTCGGGTTTGCCTTTCGTCCTATTTTCCGTAAATAAAATCGGACGAAAAAAATCCATGCTGATAGCCTCGTTTCTCGGATCCCTTTGTTGGCTGACTCTTATTTTCGCGCCGAACAAAGAAGTTATATATGCCGCTCGATTTTTCGCAGGAATGGCCGGAGACATGTGCTTTGTTGCGGCACCGATGTACGTTGCCGAGATAGCCCACCATCGAATCAGAGGCTTTCTATCTGCTTTAATATATCTGATGATGCTGCTCGGAGTTATCATTGTATATACTACAGGAGCATATGCGCCATATTATGTTCCACCCCTAATAGGAATCGTTTTAACGGTATGTCAATGTATTTTCTTCCCATTTATGCCAGAATCTCCTTATTATTTCGTCTATGTCAACAGAATAAATAACGCTAGAAAAGCATTACAAAAGTTACGACGGTCTTCAGATGTAGAAACTGAACTAAACGAGATAAAGAAATCAGTTGAAAGACAGCAACACGAGAAAGGAAGAATTCAAGATCTGTTCTTAAACAAAAACAACCGAATTGCGTTGATAATAATGACAGTGTTGAATCTTGGTCAACATTATTCAGGAATAACTATAATGGTTATGAATCTACACACCATTTTGGAAGAAGCAGGATCAACGTACATTAACTCTTCAGTTGCTGCTATTATTTCTTCCGTCATTATGTTGGTCGGAGGATCAACAGCATCTGTGATAATAGATAAATTTGGACGAAAATTTCTTTTAATAACGTCAAGTATAAGTACCGGAATAGTGTTAACGTCAATTACAGTTTTCTATCAATTAAAGTACAGTGGTTATGATGTAAGTAGGATTAGTTGGATCCCAGCGGTTGCTTGTATGCTATTTGCTGCAACTTTTAAACTAGGCCTAGGTTTAGTTCCGATAGTATTAACCGCAGAAATATTTCCTACTAATATTAAAGCGATTGGTATGACTGTTGCTGAAATTTGGTATATTGTAGGAGCTGTAACATCAGTAAATGTGTATTCTTGGTTATTTGAAAGTTACGGTCTACATGTTCCTTTCTACATTCTGACTTGTTGCAGCTTTTCTATGTGTCTGTTTACCATTTTCTTTGTACCTGAAACAAAAGGAAAAACACTAGATGAAATCCAAATTATGTTAAGTGGTAAATAATATATATTTACAGCGCTTTCACATGCGACGGACCGTCCGCGACGGAGCGTCCGTGAACTCGAGTAAGTACCATGAGTTTATATGAACAATTTCACATGAGCGCGTATGCTCCGTCCGACGGAGTTTGTTCAACGGCTATTTTGAAAAAACACGACCGACGGTCCGTCGCATGTGAAAACGCTGTTACTGTATTTATTATTTGTTTTTTATCATATTCGAGATTAAAATATCTAGATCTAATTGCTCATCTGTTATCTGAGTTCACGTTAGTCACATACTTGACAAATGCAATTTAAATATATTATTTATTAAGACCTATTAATATGATTGTTTCTTTTTTAGTTTTTTTGAATAAAGTCAATCCAAGAAGATGTTTTATTGATATTTTTACCTTTTAACATATACTTTTTTTCTTAATATTAAGTGGCCGTCCTATGCCGGAACACTGCGACCTGTTAGGCCTAAAAAAACATCCAGTTGGCTTTGAAATAAATATACTTAGATGACATTCCCCAGGAAATGTTACATATAAAATGACATCGATCTTCATTTCAAAGCCATCGCTGACGCTGTTTTTTTTTGATCATATTTTATGTATAAGTATAAGGAATTTACGTAGCCTGCTCATCATTTAATAAGCTATTGCATATTTTTACTACAGGAGCCTATGCACCATATTATGTTCCACCCCTAATAGGAATCGTTTTAACGATATGCCAATGTGTTTTCTTCCCATTCATGCCAGCATCTCCTTATTATATCTCCTATGTCAATACAATAAATATCGATAGAAAGGCACTACAAAAATTACGATGATCTTCAGATGTAGAAACCGAACTAAACGAGATAAAGAAATCAGTTGAAAGACGAGAAAGGAAGAATTCAAGATCTGTTCTTAAACAAAAACAACCGAATTGCATTGATAATAATGACTGTGTTGGATCTTGGTCAACATTATTCAGGAATGGTTATGAATCTTCAAACTATACTGGAAGAAGCAGGATCAACCTACATTAATTCTTCAGTTACTGCTATTATTTCTTCCGTCATTATGTTAATCGAGGGATCAACAGCATCATATGATAATAGACAAATTTGGGCGAAAATTTCTTTTAATAATGTCAAGTATAAGTACCGAAATAGTGTTAACCTCAATCACAGTATTTTATCAATTAAAATACAGTGGTTATGATGTAAGCAATATTAGTTGGATCCCAGATGACATGCTTGTATGCTATTTGCTGCGACTTTTAAATTAGGCTTTGGTTTAGTTCCGATTGTATTAACCGCAGAAATATTTCCTACTAATATTAAATCGAATGGTATGACTGTAGCTGAAATTTGGTATATCGTAGATGCTGTAACGTCAGTAAATGTGTATTCCTGGTTATTTGAAAGTTACGGTCTACATGTTCCTTTCTATATTTTGACTTGTTACAGTTTTTCGATGTGTTTGTTTACCATCTTCTTTGTACCTGAGACAAAAGGAAAAACACTAGATGAAATCCAAATAATGTTAAGCGGTAAATAAAATCTATTTGCTGTATTTATTATTTGTCTTTTTAACATATTGGATATTAAAATATCAAGATCTACTTGCTTATCTGTTTTCTGAAAGTTTGCGTTATTAACATACCTAACAAATGGAATCTAAATATATTAAGACCTATTGATATGATTGTTTTTTTATTAGCTTTTTTGAATAAAGTCAGTCCAAAAAGATGTTTTATTGATATTTTTACCTTTTAACATTACTCTTTTTTTCTTAATATTAAGTGGCCGTCCTATGTCGGAAACACTGACACCTGTAAGGTCTATTATTGTGTATTAAAAATACCGTATGAACGGAAAAACGGCATCCAATTGACTTTCAAATAAATATCGATGATATTCCCCAGAAAATTTTACATATATAATGACATCGATCTTCATTTCAAAGCCATCGCTGATGCTGTTTTTTTTCGATAATATAGATATGTGCTTTGTTGCGGCACCGATGTACGTTGCCGAGATAGCCCACCATCGAATCAGAGGCTTTCTATCTGATTTAATATATTTGATGATACTGCTAGGAGTTATCATTGTTTATACTACAGGAGCATACGCGCCATATTATGTCCCACCCCTAATAGGAATGGTTTTCATGTCAATGCCAATGTGTTTTCTTCCCATTCGTGCTTATTATTTCGTCTATGTCAACAGAATAAATAACGCTAGAAAGGCACTACAAAAATTACGACGTTCTTCGGATGTAGAAACTGAACTAAACGAGATAAATAAATCAGTTGAAAGAGAGCAAGACGAGAAAGGAAGAATTCAAGATCTGTTTTTAACCAAGAATAACAGAATTACCTTAAATATAATAATAGTGTTGAATCTTGGTCAACATTATTCAGGAATAACTATAATGGTTATGAATCTTCACACTATTTTGGAAGAATCAGGATCAAGATCTGTTCTTAAACAAAAACAACCGAATTGCATTGATAATAATGACTGTGTTGGATCTTGGTCAACATTATTCAGGAATGGTTATGAATCTTCAAACTATACTGGAAGAAGCAGGATCAACCTACATTAATTCTTCAGTTACTGCTATTATTTCTTCCGTCATTATGTTAATCGGGGGATCAACAGCATCTGTGATAATAGACAAATTTGGGCGAAAATTTCTTTTAATAATGTCAAGTATAAGTACCGAAATAGTGTTAACAACAGGAGACAAATACAGTGAGATTAAATACAAACGCCTTAATATAGCTTTTTTAATACAATACTTTCATCCAGACCGGGGCGCAGTATTCTGCTGTTGAGTAAACCAGTCCAAGAGCTGATGTATGGAGCGTGTCAGACGAGGATCCCCAGGTAGATCCCCAGACCACACAACTTGTGAAGGATATTATTCCTCGTCTTTAATTTGGCTGCAGTGTTTTCCAGATGCCGCTTATAGGTGAGCGTTCTGTCCAATGTGACTCTAAGATACTTTGGATACTCGTTATGTTGGAGTCGATTTCCTTCGAAACGAACGTCAAGTCGTCTGCCTGCCGATTTATTACAGTTATGGAAGCATGTCGCTTCGGTTTTTGTAGGGTTTGGTTGCAGTCTCCATTTACAGAAATATGTACTTAAGGTCACCAAGTCAGACGACAAAGTTGCCTCCATTACCTCAAAGTTCTTATGCTGCGTCGCCAAGACCCAATCCTCTACGAATCCAAACTTCCTGGAGGATGTGTGAGGCATATCAGCGATATACAAGCTGAACAGTAATGGGGCCAGAACGGAGCCCTGTGGTAAACCGTTATTTAGGATCCTTTGGGCACCTGTTTGTTCTCCCATTACCACCCGGAATGTTCTGTCAGCGAGCATGTTATCTATAAGTCGAAGAGTTCTCAAACAAGGGATTTTTTGGCCGAGTTTGTATAGTAAGCCATGCCTCCAGACAGTGTCGTAGGCTGCGGACAAATCTATAAAAATAGCTGCAGTTTTAAATTTTCTTTGATAGCCAGCTTCTATGTATGTTGTTAGTGCCATAACCTGATCTGTGCAGCTGCGCGCAGGGCGGAACCCGGCCGGTTCTATGGGAACTGTCTCCATTATTTTGGTGGCGATGCGGTTATACAGAAGTCTTTCTAAGAACTTATAGATTGAGCTCAGCAATGCCACTGGGCGATAGATTTCCGGTTCATCGCTCGGCTTTCCTGGCTTCAATAGGGCGATGATTTTTGAGCGTTTCATTTGTTGAGGTGTTATGCTGTGTGTTATGATATCTGTGAAGAATTTTGCTAACCAGCTTCTTGCATGTTTTCCACAGTGCAGTAGGAACTCTGAGTGGATTCCGTCGTATCCAGGTGCCTTTCCCGGTTTTACGTCCTTGAGAGTAATGGTTATTTCGTCTAACGAGAATGGCCGGGAAAATTCCGTTTGGTCGTCACAAATAGATTTTGGCGCTGTGAGCTCGCGCCTAATCTAAGTTGTGTGAGTTCTATCTCTCGGAGCCTTCGAGGTTGACACTATATGGGACGCTATCTTGTTTGGAGGTATTGGTGTGTCTTTGTGGGCGCTCTTGTTGTCGTCACTTAGTTTTCTTAAAAGAGACCATGCTTTCCTACTAGAAGTCTTGAAATCCAATGCCTGAACGGTTTCCACCCATCGCCCTCGACGAGCCGCGTCAAGACTGTGTAGCAACTCGTCGGCAATTTCCTGGTCGTTGCTAGCGAGGAATGCCTGGCATTGGGTTTCGCATTGCTCGTCCCATCCTGGGATATATGGTTTGCGGTATCCTCTGGGTATGGCCTTCTTTGCGGAGCTTACGACCGCAGCTACAAATCTCGTGTATGAATCTGCTCTGGGAGGGATCCACCTCAGGCACTTATCCAGACTATTAGAGAATATTTCCCAGTTTGCTCTCTGAAAATTCCACCGTGGTCGAGGGAAAGATATTACCAAGAGGATAGTTATTCCAATCTCTATTAAAGCAGGTCGGTGTTGGCTATGTGGAAAGTCTGGTAGGATTTTACGAGACGTTCTTAGTGGTATGTTATCTTTGTCTGTGGTCACGAAGCAAAGATCCGGATTATACCCACGTTTTCAGGCCGCCGAAAAAAAGGAATCTCTATCCTTTGCGTCAAATACAAGGTACATGTTATTTTTATCCGCCAAATCTACAAGTGCCTCGCCATTTTCATCGTTATCTCTGTATTTCCATTGCGTATGATGGCTGTTGAAATCACCTACATAGATAGATGGATGTTGCAATGGTAGTAGAACTTGTGGTGGCCATGGGACTGCCGGAGGTTTGTACGTGTTATTTATGGTGTAATCTCCTATTTGGATAACCACCTCATGTATGTTGTTGGAAGATGTTGAGTGCAAGTGAACATTTTCGATATTGGACCTCACATAAGTTGCCACACCATAAGCGTGGTGGTATGTGGCCCCGACTAGATCGTTGCCACATATCTTACCCCTCTTCGTAAGCTGCTCCTCATTCTCCGTATGTGTCTCCTGAATGGCAATGACGTCGATGTCGTTTTCGGTCAGGATCTTCTGCAGGACCTCACATTTGGCCCTGCTTATTCCTTCCACATTTAATTGGAAAATCCTGATACTGGGTCCAAGATTTCTTGTCAACTGGCCGTGAGAACGGCCATTTCGTGTCGTCTGTGTCATCGAGTAGTGATGTGCCTTTGATAGCCAGGAGATCGTTCTGATTGTCTGGCTGCCAGTTAGTGCTAGTTCAATTAGTTCACGTTTTACAACGCTATCCAGGGTGCACCTCGGGGAGGCGAACTAGCTTTACACCCCATATTCGAGATTAAAATATCAAGATCTAATTGCTTATCTGTATCTGAGTTGACGTTAGTCACGTACT